GAATTCCTTCATTAGAGAAACAGAAGCACTGAACACTCTTCTTGTATCTAAAAGAGCACAAGGGGATATAAAATCCAAATTCTTCCCTTTCCCAAAGCAAAAATGCAATCCCAGGTAAGAAGAAAGATGCAGCAGGTGTTTCCAAGCACTCTATCAGAACATTTTTAAATTTTAGTTCAGTACTGCTGATGAACTTATATAGATTCACAAAAAAAGTTTATAAAATTGCTATTAAAACTGCTATGAAAGGAAAAGCAAGGAAGGAAAGTACAAATTTTGCACATACCTTTTGTATGAGTTTTGCTAACAAAACACCAGAGCTCTATGTCATGGAATAAAACCTCCACTTTTTTTAGTATAATAATTTCTAATTTTTATCTTATGATCAATTGATAAATATTGAGAGGTGGTCACTCAATATTTTAAATGTGTTCTCTTAACATTATGAGGACTACTAAAGCTGAAGCGATGTTAATTTTTTAATTCGGTAAATTCAAATGCATAACTAGAAAGAAAAAGCATATTGAACACTGCTTTCTTATATCTGTATCAGAATCACATTTTATGACACTCTTTGTCATGCTGAGACTTGCTGCGTGTTCACCATCACATTAAATTCTTCACAGCAGAATCCTCCAAAGATTTACAAAGATAGATCTTTAAAGCGGATCTTGCATTGCAGAAGTGGGGCTATGAGTTTACATGTGTATTGACATTACACAGGCAAGACATTTCAGACAAGCACTTTTTCCCTGAAGTCTATCAATTGTACATACATTCTCAGACATGTGCCTATTTGCATTCTGAACTTGCTCCTGCTTGAATTGTTTCAAGTATGGATGAAAGCCCCAAACTGTGCTTACAGTTGCCTGGAACTCATCCACTTTACAGCAAGGATAAAAAAGTTACTCAAATGTCAGCAATCCACTAAATGCCCTTCCCACACAAGTTTTCAAGGATTAAACAAAAGTGACTGAGAATCTCAGCACAAAGAATTGCTGGCTCTGTCCTCCGTCAGTTGCATGGAGTAAACGAAGTGACAGTGAGGACACCACCACCAAGAACGTACACCAGTCTTTAAACCAACCTCAGTTTTGCTGAAGACAGTCTGAGATTAGGCTATTCAAGTAACTGCAGGGAGCTGCAAGCTATGCAAGCTAACTCTACAGTTCAGATATACCAGTTACTGTTAAAATACCACTGCAAAATACCAGACAATCTAGATTATCTGTACAGTTGGAATAGGATGCAGTGATCCAGCTAATTCAAGAATCAGGTGTTCTCTGCATTCACTCGGGGCAGCTTTAAACTAATAAATCTAGTTTACTAAATGTGGGCTCTGTGCCAGAACCAGCAGTGCCACCAGGAGGTCAATTCTGCAATTCTAAGAGCCTGGGCATGGACACAATGTACAGATCAGGGCAGGGGCTGGAGCAGGGAATAGGAACAATAGCACTAAGAAAGGCTTGGAATGGGCCTTGAGATATTTTTCTGTGAGAAGACAGAACAGATGATTCTCCGTTATATTTTATTACACAGTGCACCTGGGAATACTTGAACATATGTTTCTGCAATATGAACCAAATCTAACATGATACTACTTGAGTATTTTAGTTACAAACTGACTGGACAGCTCTACTGACTTTATTTTGTTGTTTGTTATGCACTGGTATTTGAAAAGTAGCCTGCACAAAATGGCAAATAACTGAATGGAATTAGAAATTACAGCCTGTATACAAGCAAAATTACTTAGACTATGTCAAACTTTTACTGTCTTGATTGCCTCCAAAAATATATTATGCTCCATTTTAACTCTATCTCACATTATCTTACTAAATACATCCATGAAATTACAGTTCTGGTTTGGGTGGGGGTTGGTTTATTTACCAAAGTGCCGTAACAGACTTTTTGTTTCAGAGGTACAATCTCAGAAAAGAAAAAACGAAAAAAGCCAACAAAAAAATGCCCCAACCACTAGTTCTAAGATAATGTCATAGACATGATTTACATTAGATCTGGATTATTCACAACAGATCTGTAGTTATGTGGAAAGCCAAATACTATTTGAGGAAGACAGGCAAATATCAAGATCTAAAGTTCTAAACTGAGGAAAGGCTTTCCCCCTGCAAAGTAAATATCCATGCAGACTGAGTAAAGTAGGAGTTTAAGTTAAACAAGTACTTCTGATAAAGAAAACACTGAAGCAACTGCAGGCATCATATAAATTTTGTGGAATTTCTCAAAAAACAAAAAGCAAATCTTAGTAGCAGTGAAGGAATACAAGCACAGAGCTCGGCTGTGGTAAGCTTCTCTTCCCCCAGGAAAGACCTAGGGACCTCAGGAGAAATAATGGGGCAGGGTAAGGAGGAAGGGAAAGATAACCAGAGAAAGGTAGTTATACCTTTAGTTTTCCTTTAAGCGAATGAAGTCCTATGACAAAAGGATGAAGTACATCATCTGTGGAAGGTAGCACAAAAACAGAAGATATTTACTATTTTGGTAGACAAACACATGCACAACATAATAAATTAATTTAAAAAATTATTTTGTGAATTATATCAATAGTAGAGTTAACTTATCATCCTTCTCCTGTTAAGGAGTTTTCAAGGCCTTTCATTATTTTATGCAACATTTCAGTGTTATGCGACGCACTGTGTAAAGCCAGACTGCACGACGACCAAAAGCTAGCCCAGTTCAACATAATCTCATTCAAGAACATCATAAAAATCTCTTACTGCTAAAAATTCACAATAGTAAAAATTAAGTATGAGCTGAATACTTTCTTCTCAGACATCAGTTCCTTACTTTCACACAGAAACACCTTGCTGACTCACAAATGTTATTAGAAATCTTGGATCTAAAACAACAAAAAAAGAAAGCAATAAGAAGCTAAGTCTCCGAAGGCTATCTGTGTCTTGCATATAAGCATTAACTGTAAAAGCTAGAATTCCTAGGGAAGCTGGGAAGCTTCTTGATTAAAAGATTGGAAGCTCAGATTAGTTAAAGAAAGAAAAAAAACAAAAATATTCACTAGATCGTAAATGGTAAAATGCTTTCTTACCCAAAGTTCCCATCCTAATTAGCAATTCCTAGAACAATCCCATGCAGAGTTGATTAGAGAAGGGAAAGATGCAACACAGTCACAGAGTCATTGAGGCTGGAAGGGACCTCTTGAGATCATTTAGTTCAAACCTCTGCTCAAGCAGGGTCAGCTACAGCAGGCTGCCCAGGACCACCTCAGTTGGGGTTTGAGCATCTCCACAAATACACACTCCACAGCCTCTCAGTGCAACCTCTTCCAGTGTTTGACCACCCACACAGTTTAAAAAAAAAAAAAAAAAAAAGTGTTTTCTCAGGTTCAGATTGAGATTCATGTGTTTTAATTTGTGCTCATGGCCCCTTGTGCTGTCACTTGGCACTAGTGAGAAGTCTGGTGTCCTCTTCTTCACTCCCTCCCATCAGCGTATTTATACACATTGATAAGATCTCCCCAAAGCTTTCTCTTCTCCAGGCTGAAAAGTCACAGCTTCATCAAGTCTTTTTTTATACGAAATACAAGAAAATACACATTAAAAAAAAAAAAAATCAAGAAGAGATCTTACATTGCTAGCTTACTTTTGGTTAGAAGTATCCTCTCTCCTGGATAGAACAGGAAAAAAAAGAAAGTTGCAAGGATTTTATCCGAGACAGCAAACTCGCAAAGACTAACAAGAAACCAGGAGAATGGTTTGGGATCTCCACCTTGAGCCACTTCATAATCTTAAAACTAAAACCTACTTACAGTCTGAACTGTACATTCACCCTGCTTACTAACTTGCTTACCTCTCTACAGCAAAGATTTAGGAATGTGACATACAAAATATTGTCAATATGGTTTCCATCATGGAAAATATAAGCAGGAAGATTGGGGAAAAGGGAGGAAGGAATTCTGTCTTTCACACATCAGAAAAAAAGCTGAGATCTTTAGTTCTAACAGAAGACAACCAGTCAGCAATGATGACATATTTAGGAAATAATCTACACTAAATCAAGGTGGAGGAGGTGTTGTTTGTTTATTTATTTTTAACAGATTACATTACTGAGGAATAAGGTGTAGAAAGTGATGTGACCAGAAAGTACGTGGGGGCCTGAAGCAGAAAAAAACCAGGGAAGATCAAAACCACCATAAGAATATGCAGAGGACCAGAGAAAGACATCCTCACAGGAACCAATATAGGCATGAGGGCGTAAGAGTGAAGTGTTGGGGTTTTGTTTTTTAAAAGTAGCTAGGTTGAGCATTAGCAAACTGATAAAAACAAAGATACAGTTGTGATCCTCATATTTAGCTCAGAGGTCAAGAAATCTGTAAAGATCAGTTCGTGAGGAAAACAAGAGTTAAAAACTGAGCTGAAAAAAGTCTGGACAAACTTTGAGAAAATTAATTCAGTCAGTATGATGGATAATTTTAGATGAAAAAGAGGAGAGAAAACTGCTGAGGAGGTGTAGAGGTTTTATAGGCTAAAAACCTGAAGTATTTTTATCGTAAAATCAGCCAGAAGAAAAAGAAATCTCGTATACAAATCAAGAACAGAAGGCATAGCACAAAACGAGTGTGACAGGTTAAAGAAGCAGCACGTACAATACTTCTACCTGCAACCAAATAGCTGTAAGGGAGTAAAAATCATGTCTTTTCCTTGGCAGATAAGAGACACGTTAAAAACAAAAATCAGGAAGAACATTTGCTAACAGAACTGGCAACAAGGAGGGTTTAAGAAGCGAGTTGACAAAAATACCAGCTGTTACTGCAGATGTGAGATTCAATTAAACCTGAGAAGTAGAATTGTTCACCTAAGACAATGGCAAAGCCAAGGGAGAAGAAAACGACTCTGTACTGGAGGAAGTTTGCCTCTTTGCAGGATTTCCACCTGAGACCCTCCACAGTGCAAGAGAAGGAGCAAGGGAAGCAGGTGGTCTGTAAGGGGAACGCTGAACTCGCACAAGCTGATCACCGATCATACTTCAGTATCAAACCACTGCTTTTGAAAAAACAGAAAATACTGCTACAAATATACACCTAATTGTGCAAACAGCCAGAACAAGAGTTTGAAACAAACAGTTTTAAAATTATAGGTTTGTGTTTCAGTGTCGTCAAGTCACTTTTGAACTAGATGCTGTTTTAGAAAATACACCTGGAAAATATTATATTTAAGATTAGGTAATCACAAATGTTAGACATTTCAGCACTGTGATTCAGATGGTCATACATCTGCATATGTGATACTTCTACAACTGAACCCCAGTGTTACACTCTTATGGCATTCTTGCTGTTTCCTCCAGTTTTCACTACAGTTTGGTAGAAACAGTACTGTCACTGGCAGTGCTGAAAATCTAGTCCCAGAAAAAACCCACTAAATTCATTTTCTATTGTGTGAAGGAATCATCAACTTAAAATTTAATCCAAACCAGCTAGGCTTTTTAGAAGTTATGACGAAAACCCCCGCTACACTTATTCTTGGGCTACACTGTTAATTCCCTGTCTTTAAAAATCTCATTGTCTATTTAAAGTCTCCACATGAGAAACTCAGAAAGACAAAACACTCAATATACAAAGGAAACCAAAATTTAAAAAAAACCCTCTGCCAGACACAAAATATGCAAACAAAAGTGAAAGAATATCTTAGTTACAGCAGCAGTATTACTTGTGGTGACAGAAGAAAAAATATTTGCAAATGTAAGACAAGTTTAGTCTCAATCTGCCTGATAATTTTATTGAAATTTTCTCCAGAGCATACAGCACTTCTGTAAAACAAAATAATTCCAGGTACTGTCCTGTAATTTAACATCACAAGGGCAGATCTTACTGGAATAGGTAAAAATAGCACTAGCGAACATGCCAAAGGAGAGTCTTTCCACTATATGGCCAGTGCTTAGATTGCAACATCAGCTGGCTCGCTTTTTATAACCTCTTGATTGCCAGTGAACAAGTTACACAGTCAACTTAAAAGGTTTGAGAAATCTAAGAGTAAGCTCTGGAACTCACTTTCAGCTGAAATCAATCCACTGTATCACTCTGACACGAACACTTTGTTTCGGCATGCTGTTATTGCCTGTGTAAGCTTTATACTTGCTTCTAAAGCATTTAACACAGATGAATGATGTAATTCAGAATACAGTTTTATTTTTTCTTAAATGTCAGCATAAAATTGGAGGCTTGCACACTTTGTTGTTTCTTTTGGCTGCAAAAAACTCTGGAAGCTACTTAACTTACTACATTCTCTCACAGCACGCATGTGCCATCCTCCAATGAACCCATTTTGGCCTGTTTCTGCAAAGGCAGCCCCTCAGCTCCAACCGCCCTGGAAGAACCACTCCCTAGCACCTGAACTCTAGATGTTTTTTTCCATGTTTCCACAAAAAAGATAACCATCACAATATGAGCATTTAATACTGCTAGACCAGTGATCAAAATGAGACAGAAATGTTGTTTAGCTAGAAGAAATTCACACTCCTTAGCCTGCAGATTGACTTAGAGATGACTGAAATTGCTTAGCTTTCTAATTAGGTACAAGGGAAACCAGTATCCTCCCATCTTCTACACCACAAACAGGTTTCTGCCTGCTCATGCCTACAGATTGGTATTGATCAGACACAGCTTTCAAAAGTTATTGGAGAGGGAGATAGATAGGGAAAAGAAAGCTATAAAAAAGCAGGATGTCACTTAGCTTGCACAGTTACTATCACATCTTTTTCTCCTCAGCCTAAGAAAAACTGAATGATTGTCAACATATTTAACTCTCCTTAAGTTTGAAAGTGCTGCCATAATCAAAAATACGTTTCTTATTTGCACACAGCAGCCCCAATACTGTGTCTCTATATGAAGAAATATACATAGGTCTCATGTGAATTCAAAAGCAGATAGAGTTTAGACCCATTTGCCATGCTTAATGCATGAGTTTTACAATACAGGTTTTACAAAAACACTCATAAAATTACAACAAAGATGTGCTCAAATAAAGAGCTGATTAAAGAAAAAGAAAGGTATTTTAGTGGGCTTATGAAATAGATTAGACTTAAAGGAATTCAAATTCTATCAGAAATTATCAAAATAAGGAAAATATTTTACCTGATGTTAACCTTGGCATTAACAACTGGTAGGTAAATTCTGAACTTCTGGAATTCTAAAAGAAGGTTTTATGGACTCTGAAGTTGGAGGCATATCCTATGTCATAAGTAGGATCAACTTTCACTGAAACTTAGAATAAGGTTTCTAAAACAAAGTTAAAAAAAAATCAAGTTGTTACTATATATCAAATACACCTTTTCAACTGGAACCTAGAGAAGTAATTTCAGGGTCTTTCACCTCCACATTAAGTGGAATTAAAACCTACCTTGCTTTTCCTTTTACAAGAAATTTTAAAAAATATTTTTATTTTCTATGAGAATCATTTGGGAATAACGTAACTAGCATTTTTTTAAC